AAGGATTTTATTTTTTAAAAATACAATAAACAAAGAAATACAAGAAAAAAAAAGTATCAAATTATTGAAGAATATGACTTTCATAAAACTCAGATTAAAAAAATTTTTTTCAAGGTTTACCGACTGGGTCCGTTTTCATTTTAATTTAGAATTTTGGTGAGTCCAATAAAATAAAATAAAATATAAAAATAAAAAATTAAAATAAATCGAAAAGAACAAAAATTTAAACCAAAGCATTTTTTTATTTTAAACTTCTTTATCTTTTTTTCTATCTTATTTTCTTTTTGTCTCTATATTTCTTTCTCAAATAAAAGAGGAAGAAGACGAAAATATCTGATCCCGGTCGAAAAATACTGGATATTGACGGTCCAGCGACTAAATATTTTTCCAGCGACCCCACCAATCAAATAGAAAAATAAAAAATCTGTTTCTATAGGGATTTGTCCGAAGGCAAATACGGTATTTAAAAGACAAAAAAAGAGACGAATGGAGAAGATAGAAAAGTTTAACTGGCTTCAGCATCACGATTTTTACAGGCTGATTATCAAAAAAAAAAATATATATATATATATATATATTCAAAAATAAAAAGTAATTTTAACCTGAATTTCTTCAATGAATGTTTTATTATCACTTTTCTTTTCGTTTCGGACTAATGTCTTCATCTTTATTATAGTTTATATAACGTTTGAAAAATCGTTTCGCGCTCGACCATCAATCAGGTGATTTTCGATCCGGGTAACAAGGAATTTGAAACTGAACTCTTCATTTTACAATTCAGTCATATAGAAATTTTCTCATATGTTTTTCTCTCAAAAAAACCAGGAAGAAGATTACAAGATTTATACGGTATAATAAAACCGAATACTGACGGTCCACTGGTTAATAATTTTAAATTAAAAAATTCAAAAACGTCTCTGTTACGAAGAGTTACTTCTTGAAGAATGAAATACCATATTTAATAGAATAGCATTTCTAGTTATCTGTCTGTATATCTGAGATGAGAAAATCATAATTATTTACATTGTTTCTTGATTTGTCCTAATCTTTGTTCTAAACGACGTTTGGTAAATGTACGCTAATGGTGATTGGAATTTCGAACTGAACCCTTTATTTCGTTTTGAGAAATAGATAGTGCTAGTTTCATGCCATGCCTTTTCCGGATTATCTTTAAGTTACCAAATTAACTTAAACTGTCTTAAGTTATCCCTTAAAAACATTTCTAGAGTTTTGTTCAATTGCAGTGGCCAGATATTGAACTCACAACTCTTTTGGTCAGTTATTTTTTTGGATCTCAACTAACGAAAATTTATCCACTGGGCCATGTCAATTGAGAAAAAAAAGATTTTGTAAAAAACTCCAATTATTTGAAGATTTTATTTTGTGCAACAGCCGAAACGTGGCGAATATGGCACTAAAGATGAGGACAGCAGTCCGAACAATGTAAATAATACAAATCTTTTCTAGTTAGTTATGATCCCAAGAAATACAAATTTTGATTTTTCGTTTGAATTAAGTTTTATTTTAGAATAAATTTATACTTCCCGAAATGTATTAGATAATGTCTCCCCTCCAATATGGCAGTGAATGCTGGACAAATGCCCTCCACATCAAGGGTATTCTGCTTTAAAATATTTGCCTAAACAACAATGTTTGAAAGAATCGCTCATATCCGGAATCGCTCATATCCGGAATCCCGCACATCCGGAATCCCTCATATCCGGAGTGCTTCATATCCGGAATCCCGCACATCCGGAATCCCGCACATCCGGAATCCCGCACATCCGGAATCCCTCATATCCGGCGTGCTTCATATCCGGAATCCCGCATATCCGGACATGATTTTGATATGTATATTTGAACTATTTGGGTGATATGTAACTGATTTGAAATTTCTGTTTTTCAGGAAATTTACTTCGGATAATTGCTTCTGCCTTTTTCACCCTAAAGGCTTGTATTGGTGCAAAAGATGATGGGAATAAGAGGAAAAAAACAACTTTGGAGTAATCGCAAAAAGTATAAATTTTAAACTGACTAGAAGCTGGTGAAAGTTCATTGTAACTAATGGCTGAGTTCAGCATAGGAAAGTCAACATTGGTTGATATAAAATCTTCCAAAGAAACTATTCTCCAGCGTAAATAAGTAAATAAAAAACATGATTGTGATGAAACCTGGAATGAAATTGAAAAAGCTATTGAAAATGTTGTCAGTTTTATGGAAAGAAAGCCAGCATTCAGCTATGACGATTGCAATAACGCACGCAGAGTTAAAAAAAAAAAGTATCTTTCGTTTAGAATATTTCAAGAACAAAATCAAAACGAAATGCGGAAAAAAGTTAAGAATGACATTAGAAGAGAAAGAATCCTCATGCAAGAGCGATTAAAAAATCCTTGTTACATTATTTGTTTTGCATACGTGGCAGACTTAATTTAATGAATTTTCATTAATATTACATAATTTATTTCTTTTTCCTTAAAATCAATTCCGTTAGATTTCACTC